AGGGAAGTACTAAATCCATTGAAGTTATAATGCCTGGAAAATGGAAGGCACTCAGATTCAATCCAAGGAAGAATAGGGAAGGATAAGTCCAGTTCCTTGGCTCAAGGTATTTATCATGAGGTACATGTACAGAGTGCTCCCTGGAAACAGGTCACTGACTTTTTTGAGTTACATAGTGTAAATTACCTAGGATATGATAATTGCACTTATGTGTAACTGTGCCTAAATAAATTTAATTATTGACAGACACTGTTTAAGAGCTATAAACTTAGAAGGGCCCTGCTTTACGGCATTCCGCTAATATGGACACTTAAAATTATGACCAATGGAAATAAGTCACTCTGTCTGACTTTTTTGGGTTATCCTAGGTTCTTTACACATATGCTGCTATGTATGATAATTCTATGTAACTGTATTTATGTATACCTGAATAAATTTACTTACTTACTTACTCTCTACACGGCTCCCCCCACCTGATTTTCTAATACAGTCACCGCGCCCCACCTTGTTTGTTTACATTCTTCGTGAGCTCAGTAAGCACTAAGTCTCTCCATTTTGTCTGGAAACTCCAAAATTTCAAATGTTTTTAAAAGTTATTTCATATTTTATATATACTCTGATAATTATACTTATGTATACCTGTACTTAAATAAACTTACATACTGTGCTGGCGTGCAGGTACACATTAAAATCAGTAAGAGTGTCTTATGTCTCCAGACGTCATATTAGTAATGATAATAATAATCATCGAGTCTCATTTAAATGTCGTATATTACGTTAAATACACATTTTCATTAATCCATCTATGATATTTTTTCAAAATTATATAATAAACACGATACATAACATAAAAATATGATAAATACACCCCACAATAGAATTAAATAAACATAAATATGAGATGTGGTAGCAGACGACTTGCACAAGTGACGCCATATTAGAAATGCTAATAAAAATAATAATAATAATAATTAATAATAATAATAATAATAATCACCGAGTCTCATTAAATGTTGTATATTACGTTAATATACACATTTTCATTAATCCATCCATTATATTTTTTTTCAAAATTATATAATAAACACGATACATAACATAAAAGATGATAAATACACCCTACAATAGAATAAATAAACAAATATGAGATTTGGTAGCCAGATAACTTGTACAAGTGATGCAAGAATAACATTTTCTCTAATCTAACATAAGAGAAAATGTGTTACTGGGGGGTAACTGTAGAAAAATTATTCCTTTCATATGTATGTAAGTAAGTTTATTCAGGTATACACAAATACAGTTACTAGATTATCATACATAACATATGTGTAGAGAACCTAGGATAACCCAAAAAAGTCAGAGTGACTTATTTCCATTGCCTTCACTCAGAGCATCATTTCTTCTCAAAATGATGTTACATGAGAATGGGAGTGTCCTTCTTTATTTATTCTACCGTATCAATGTAGAGACAACCTGTACACAATGTAACTTGTACACAAACCAGACGTGTACACTTCGTTTACAAAACTTACCTTCGCCTGGTTTGCTTACATAACTCTGCGCCTGTCCTCTCTCATGCACTCATTCTTTCTCTCTCTCATTTATTCGTTTTATCTCATTTACTTACTCCTGACCCTACATTAAGACTACAAATATTTTAAGGTAAGTAATGAGTGAACTGTATATACATTTTATTGCTCTGGGATGCTTAAATGTAATAGAATATTATGTGTAGGTGGGTTGGGGCCCGGTATGGTAGCCCGGCTGACTACCATACATACCACACTTGATTTTTTACAATAAATACTACTCATCTCACCCTATATTTTAAGGTAAGTAATGAGTGAACTGTATACACATTTTATCGCTCTGGGATGCTTAAATATCATAGAATTGTATGTGTGGGTGGGGTGGCCTGGTATGGTAGCCTGGCTGACTACCATACATACCACACTTGATTTTCTTACAATAAATACTACTTGTCTCACCCTAGATTAAGACTATAAATATTTTAAGGTAAGTAATGAGTGCACTATGTGTGTATTGTACGTTTTTATTGTTTTTTGATGCCTGGTTCTATTGCTAACTTAATATATGTTAGTGTAAACTTGTTATCTAGTGTTTGTATGCATTTGTAAGTGGAAAAAAAGGGTGTTCCACTTTACGGCGGTTTCCGCTTTACGGCGGTAGCCTGGAACCTAACCAGCCGTATAAGTGGGGCCTTCCTGTACTCTGACAATTACACTTACTTGTAACTGTACCTAAAGGGATTCAGGGAAACCGGCAGGCCGGACTCGAGTCCTGGAGATGGGAAGTATAGTATCTGCACTCTGAAGGAGGGGTGTTAATGTTGCAGTTTTATAAATGTAGTGTAAGTATGCCTCAGGCAAGACAGTGATGGAGTGAATGATGATGAGTTTTTCTTTTTTCAGGCCACCCTGCCTTGGTGGAAATCGGCCGATGTGTCAAAAAAAAATATATATATAACGATCACTCTGAGGTGCATTAAATGTCGTATACTGTATTACGTTAATATAGACATTTTAATTAATCCATCTATGATATTTGTCTCAAAATTATATAATAAACACGCTACATAAGATATGAACAAGATAAATACACCCACAGTAGAATAAATTAACAAATATGAGATGTTTTTTCAGTCGTCTTGTCGGAGTGTATGAAAGAATAAAATTTTCTCTAATTCAACACCAAAGAAAATGTTTACACAATAGTATTACTGGGGGTAACTGTAGAAAATTATTCCTTTTATGTGCCTTCACTCACAGCATCATTCCGTCTAAAAATGGTGTGTTACATAAGACTGGGAGTGTTGCTCTTCATTTATTCTACTGTACCAATGTGAAGACAACTTGTACACAATGTAAGGTGTTTGTATTATGGTATAAGATTAAAAAATATGGGAATGAATGAGTATTAACCAAAAGCAGATGTGTTCGTCTGTTTACGAACTCTGTGGCTCTGTCCTCTCTCATTTACTTGTTCTCTCTCGTTTGTTTGTTTTTATATTATTTACTTACCTCTTACCCTACACTAAGACTACAAATATTTTGAGGTAAGTAATGAATGTACTGTGTGTATATTTTACTTTATATCAGATTAGATTAGGTTTTTTAAAATTTTTGACAAATTACATGGTTGTACAGAGGGATATAATACATAGTTGGGTGTACATGCCAAAAACCGCTCTGTATGCTGAGCATTTTGGGCAAACTTAAAGATTAACTTAAGAATAGTACATAGTATAATACATAGTTCATATGGTCATTAGACGAGTTAGAATGAGTACAGGAGAACATATAATATCAGGTGATGCTACATGGTTTTGATAAGTCTAGTACAGAGTTTTTACACTATTGAATTAGTTTATAAAGATTACAGTAATACATTGTAACAATTTAAAACAATTTACAGTGTGATGTATTACAGTTTAGCACATCTTAAAACAATGAAATCTGGTATTACAATGGAATAATTTACATTATGATGTACTGTATTACAATCTACTATTTAAAACAGTGAAAAGAACAGACATACTAATTTCAAAGTAGTAAGTGGTTGAGCATTCATCAGCACAATATGAGTAGCTTTTGAGAAACTGGTAGTGATTAGGTATGGTTTGTCTGGTTAATTTTGGGTGATGAGACGATTTCTTATTTGGGCCTTAAACTGATTTGCAGACAGGGGTCCTTAAGTTTGTTCTGGGAATGAATTCCAGATCTTCGGGCCTTTTACGTGCATAGCATTTTTGCATAGGGACAGATGAACACGGGGGATATTGAGTGATCTGTGTCTCATATTATGGTTGTGTGTTCTGTTATAGTTATCAAGGAGGAATTTAAGAGGAGGGTTTACATTAGAGTATAGTGTTCTGTGTATGTAGTAGGCACAATAATAAGTGTGGAAGTTTTGGAGTGTTGTCTAATGCAGGAGTTAGTAATCAATTGCTCTGCAGCTTTTTGTTGGGTTATTAAAGGCTTAAGGTAATTTGCTATGGTTGAGCCCCATACACAATTACCATAGGTGAGGTAAGGGTAAATGAGAGTGGTACAAAGCTAGAAGAGCTGATTGGGGTACATAGTACCATATCTTTGAAAGGATGCCTACTGTTTTGGAGACTTTCTTGGAAATTTGCCATGTGTCTGAAATTTGAGACTGCAGTCAAGGTGGAGACCTAGAAATTTGCCCTCTGCCTGTCTAGAGATAGGTGGACCATTTATCAATATATTTAGCTGTACATTTGAAACTCTGTTTCCGAAAAGCATGAAGTAAGTTTTGCCAATATTGAGAGTAAATTTGTTGGTTATCATCCAAGTAGATATTTTTAGCAGTTCAGCATTTACTGTGTCTGTTAGTATGGTTGGACTTGAGTGAGAAAAGACATAAGTTGTGTCATCTGCAAATAAAATGGGTTTAAGGAGATTAGATGCATTTAGTAGGTCACTGATGTAAATGAAAAAGAAGTGGGTCAAGAATGCTTCCCTGTGGGACTCCAACAAGAACAGGTTGTGTAGTGGAACAGGCTCCATTTGTGTATACATACTGGATACTATTGTTAGTGTAAACTTGTTATCTTGCATTTATATGCATTTATAAGGGGAAAAATGGAGTTCTGGTTTCTGGCAATAGCCTGGAACCTAACCTGCTGTATAAGTGGGGCCCTACTTTATTTACGATTTTATGCCACTTACACTTTTTTTTTCTCAACACGCCTGTCACCTCCCACTGAGGCAGGGTGACCAAAAAAACTATACTATATGAAGATTGGTCAAGAACTATGGGTAAAGCTAAATTATAAAAATTATCCTTCTTTAGTTTTTTATTAAATGCATGTGTATGTTCCCTTTTTGCATGTGTGGAGAATTAAAAAAAAAAAAAACACTACTGATGGGAGACTGAAAATCTTTACTTCTTCAGGTACCTGAACTTAACTGATCACTGGCATTCTACAGAAGATAATAACATTAATAACTGCTTACCTGGCCTGTGTAACTTTTCAGCAGCTCAAGGCTCTGTTGTACAATACTCAGATCTTTGAAATCTAACTTGGCTCCCTTCTTCTTTCCTACCTGTTGATAAAAATGATCAATTATCATATTCATTAAAGAGGATTACTTACCAAGAAATAAATTGTACACGAATATAATTACTGGGTAGGCAAATCAAATGTTCCAAGTTTGAATCTCCTTGTAGGGAACTGTCCTAGTTCATTCCTATCTTCCTCCACCGAGTAAGTGACATTTTACATCCAAGGATGGGATTAGTAATATTCTGACTCATTTTTTTTTTTTTTGGTGGGGGGATGAGACTGAAAGGATGCTTTCAAAGAAAGCTTGGTAACTAGTTTTTAAGAGATTAAGAAACCATTCAAACTGTTTTATTAATTACAAGTAAAATTTGAAAAATTAAGTAAAACAAGAAGGATGATTCTTCATTAATCTATAAAACTTTTCACTATTTTACTATAAATAGTTTAGTAAACATCAGTACTGTACTGTATTGCTTGGACAATACGAGTCAATTTTGAGGAAAGGCAGTTCCTATCATTCTTTTTTTTATCACATACATATTTAACAAGCACTGAGCCCACATGGACCATACAACACTGCTGTGTGATGTGTAAGGAGTTATTGGAGTTGGAAGTTAGTGAGGGTGTAAATTTAATATCAAAGTTAGTGCAATAGGTTAGTTTTCAATTAAAAAGCCAGACTGAATTTGCACCCAAGGTGGAACTTTCAGTGAGGATGTCAGAGTTAAAGTGTTTGAGTTGCAGATGTGAAAAGTGAATTCTGCACGTTTTCCAATAGGTAGAACAGCTCATTCGTTCAGCCTGGCAGTCCTCATGGTAAGGTCCTGGGAGCCTCTTCAGATGGTATTCATGTGCCTGTTGTGTTCAATTCTTAACCTTGCAAGCCCAGTTTTTCAACATGCCACAATGATGAAAAGACAGTCAGGGATAGAACTGATCAATAGAAAATTTCCTGTACTCTATCTAAGACCAGAATTGTTGCCTGTATCTTTTGAGTTGTTGAGAAAGTGCTGAAAAGATAGTCTGAGAAAGGGATCCACCTTGTTGGAGATAAGTTGTGAATAGTGGATCAAGAGACAATCTGCATGTTCATTTCCCAGACCATCAGTGTGTCCAGACCCAACAAGAAACAATTTCTTGTGCTTATTAAACAACCTTCATCCATATACAATGAACTTATAATCTGACAAACTAATAGGGAAAGGGTGTGTATGTAAGTGTACGTACACTACAGCTAGCAGTCATGCATACTGTGTACACTAGTCAGCACCTTGTGCACATATTTCTCATACCTTGACCTGCTTTTCCACTTTATGACTGGTATTTCCCTTTAGTGATATTTGTTCTTTAATACTTTTGGGAAAATGCAACAATAAATAAGTTATAATTATTGTTTTAGTGTAACAAATTGACAAAGAAAGGTTTAAAATTTGTTCATCATTTAAGAGCAATTATACACCTTTAACCCTTTGACTGTTTACGTTGTATATATATATGTCTTACGCTCCACTGTTTCTGACATATTTATACGCGTAAATTCTAGCAGCTTCAAATCGAGCAGGAGAAAGCTGGTAGGCCCACATGTGAGAGAATGGGTGTGTGGTCAGTGTGCACCACAAAAAAATCCTGCAGCATGCAGTGCATAATGAGAAAAAAAAAAGCTTACCATTTTTTTGGATTAAAACGCCGACTTTGAGGTGTATTTTCGTATAGTACTTATCATCGTATTCTCATTTTCATGGTCTCGGGTGATAAAATGGAAAACATATTGCAGAAAAAGATGATTTTTATTACCTTCATGATGAAAAGACCTTGAAATTGAGCTCGAAGCAGTGGAAATGTTCGATTTTTACCAATGTTCAGGAGTAAGCAAATTACACCACACATCCATTACACGTCAACTGGGGAGTCTAATATTCTTTCACTAGTGCACTGATATTATTTATACCGTTTTACAATAATGCAGTACTCTGCATAACAGTAAATTTTGTATTTTTTGTATGAATAAAAAATCAAAATAGAAAGCAATAGTAATATTAGAGGGGCCTAGAGAAGTGACTAATGAATAGAGGATATGTTATTTTAGTGCCAAGAATGTCTACATTGTTTATTCTGGACCCTATTTTGAAATTGGCATCTTTTTTAATTAGCGTGAAATTGGCCAAATTGCCAATTTCTGACCACTTTATTGGGTAGTTGAAATCGGTAAATGGGCGGTTTCTTGTACTCGACTGATAGAAAAAATGGAGCTCTAAAGAAATAGCTATGAGTTTGGTCAACTGGAACAATGGAATTGGCCAAAAACAGGGCTCAAAGTCGGCAAAATTGCTGATGTGTATATGTCGCCAAGACCGCTATCTATCGTTTCATAAGAAAAAATATTTTTTTTTTCCAAAACTTTTGTGACATAGAATGACAGTTTCAGAAAGGGGCTTGCGACAGTCAAAGGGTTAAGGCAAAAACCATGTTGATAATTTGTTAGTAAGAGTTGTAACACTGACTGTGTAGGTGACAGTGTTCATGGCCATAAAAAAATATATATATAAAAGACACACTAAAAACCATCAGTTAAAACCCACATTATATTATTAATGTCAAAAGACTTGCAAATTTTCCCTGAGGTCCCTACCAGCACCTCAGTAATTATAAACAATGACAAAGGCAGAAAAGCCTTAGCCTTAGCTGTGTTAATTTGGATGAACCAAAATGTGATCTAGTTTTAATTTGGGTAGAGAGCTTACAATTTTTTGTCACAGTGTTATGATTAACATTCTTTTAGTTGCATAACATACTTTGTGTGGCAAATCTTTATTTACAACCCAGATCACATTGTGACACTCATCACAATTAGCCCTTTCAATAAATACCTTGTTTGCTTCAATTACTTGGTCAATCCACATCTCCAAAGATAGGTCAGAAACTTGGTGGGGAGGATGTGCCATGATAGGAATCAGCGGGTCATCAGGCCCCTGATCAGTCAGGTGACCAGCTGACACATCTGCTTCCAGCATCATGATGGATGGGTCTGTATAATAGGCAACTTACTGCTTCCACTGATAACATAACTCAGTATTTTACTTGTTTAAAAATATGAAAATACATCAATGCATCCTGATAACTCCAATGAATAAATATCACTACTGAATCACAAAGACTTTTCTAAAATATTGCATCTTAACCCTTTCAGGGTCCGTGCCATAGATCTACGGCTTTACGTTGAGGGTCCAAACCATAGATCTACACCAAAATTCTAGCGGTGTCAAATTTAGCGCAAGAAGGCTGATAGGCCTACATCTGAGAGAATGAGTCTGGGTGGTCAGTGTGTGCACTATAGAAAAAATCTGGATGCCTGCATGGCATTGTGGGAATGCCACCAAAGTAGCTTTGTTCATCATGCCTGGCAGTAAGGAAGCTCTCACTCCCCACTCACTCTCCTGGCGAATTCTGACTCTCCTCTTCACAACTTACAGTTCTAAGACTGATGGAAGTGGATCTGAAGAGGAATTCTATGATTTTGAACCATATGGTACCCTTGTACCATATGGTACAAAGGTGCCATGTCATACAATGGTATATGGTACAATGATACCAATGATACCATATGTACTATATGGTACAATGTACCATATAGTACATTGTACCATATGGTACATTGTACCACATGGTACATTATACCACATGGTACATTATACCACATGGTACATTATACCACATGGTACAGGGTACAGGGACCCTAATGGAAATAAGTCTGTCTGACTTTTTTTGATCATCCTAGGTTCTCCAAACATATGCTGCGATGTATGATAATCTATGTAACTTTATTTGTGTATACCTAAATAAACTTACGATGCCACATCTGCTTGATTAAGTTTATTCAGGTGTATACAAATACAGTTACATAGATTATCATACATAACAGCATATATATAAACTCCTAGGATAACCCAAAAAAGTCAGGGTGACTTATTTCCACAGGGATCCCTGTATCTGTACCACATGTCCTGTACCATATGGTACCCTGCACCATATGGTACCCTGCACCATATGGTACCCTGCACCATATGGTACCCTGTACTGTATGGTACCCTGTAACATATGATACCATGTACCATATGGTCAGTTGGAGATGTTAATGCCACCAGGCACAAGCCAAGACTAAGTGAGTGACGACACAAGCTAGCTAGTGACTCTGCAGTTTCCAAGACAAAGTGCTTTGTCATCCACCTCAAGAAAAATGTTGAGTGGCTGTACATTTGTATATAATAGAACATTACTAATATACAACATTTTTGCATATTTTTGTTGTAAACAATTATTGTAAATGAAATAATGATGAAAATATTAGTGTGTTTATTGTGTTGAGTACAACAGTACCACATATGTGTAGTATCATATGGTACAATGTACCATATGGTACCATTGCACCATATGGTACCATTGCACCATATGGTACCATTGTATCATAAGGTACCATTGTATCATAAGGTACCACTGTACCAAATGGTGCCATTGTACCATATTCTACCATATGGTACCATTGTATCACATGGTGCCATTGTACCATATTCTACCACTATACCATATGGTACCATTGCACCCTATGGCACCATTGTACCATATGGTACTATATGGTACTGTTGTATTCAACACAATAACTGCACAAATATTTTCATCATTTTGTTTACAATAAACTTGTAAACAAGTTTTGTAAGCAATAAAATGATAAACAAATTAGTGCAGTTATTGTGTTGAACCCCAAACAGTTGTCAACTAGTAAGTGTAACTCATGACTTTATTCAAAAAGAACTAAGCAGGTTAAACCCAACTAAGAGCACAGGCCCTGATAACATCCCGTCTAAGTTCCTAAAAGATGGTGCTTCTGAACTGTCAATCCCTATTGCTCACATAATAAATCTATCAATCACAACTAATACCATACCGGAGGGGTTCAAGGAGGCCAGAGTTACTCCTATCTTCAAGAAAAATAGTAGGTCTGATGTCAACAACTATAGGCCTGTTAGTATACTCAGTATAATATCCAAAATTCTAGAGAGGGCGGTGTACTCTCAAGTAGTTAAGTACCTTAATGACAGCAACATTCTCCATAGCTATCAATCGGGCTTTAGAAGATCTTACTCAACCGACACCTCCTTAATTAATCTGATGGATTACCTGAGAACTGAAATGTCAAAGGGGAACCTCATAGGTATGGTAACCTTAGACCTGAAAAAGGCCTTTGATACTGTCAACCACAATATATTATGTAAGAAACCTCAAGCTATCAGTACAGGTTCTGTAGACTGGTTTAAGTCCTACCTTAGCAACAGGAAACAAATTGTCAAAATCAACAAAACGGAATCAGAACCCCTGCCGATAACATGTGGAGTTCCCCAAGGTAGTATTCTGGGTCCCTTATTATTCTTATATTATGTCAATGACATGTCTATCAGTGTCAAGTGCAAACTCCTACTGTATGCAGATGACAGTGCCCTGTTAGTATCAGGTAAAGACCCACAAGATATAGCTAATGTTTTAACACTGGAACTGGAGTCCTGCAGCAAATGGTTGGTAGACAACAAACTATCATTACACCTCGGGAAAACTGAAGCCATTCTCTTTGGCATGAAACATAAGCTGAGAAGGGTAAATAATTTTAATGTCCAGTGTAATGGGGAGCCCATCACTTTGGTTTCATCAGTAAAATATCTGGGAATCCCCTTTGATCCATGCATGTCAGGAGAATTGATAGGGAACAGTGTAGTAAAGAAAGCGAATGCCAGACTGAAGTTCCTGTATAGACAAGCACAGTGTCTACCTACTGAGGCTCGCAGGACCCTATGTCTAGCCCTTATACAATGCCATATGGATAACGCTTGCTCTTCATGGTACTCTGCCTTGACAAAAAACTGAAAGATAGACTGCAAATCACCCAGAACAAAATCGTAAGATTCATCCTGGGGCTGGGACCAAGAGAACATATAGGCCAGGATGAATTACAGCAGTTGGATATGCTGAATGTTGAAGACAGAGTAAAACAACTGAAGCTAAATCATGTTTATAAAACTGCTCACAAACAGTGTCCAGAATATCTTGCTGTCAATTTTGTCAAGGTTGGGAACCAAAGCAATCATAGTACTAGGGGGAGAGAGCACAACTTTGTAGTACCCACAGTCATTGGCCAGGCTTCAAACACCTTTTATTGTATATTATTATTATTATAATCAAAAAGAAGCACTAAGCCACAAGGGCTATACAGCCTTTTATTGTACAGCAATAAAGGAATGGAACAGACTACCCGCACATGTCAAAGCCAGTCATAGCATGAATCAGTTCAAGAAGTGTGCCAAAAGGTGTCTGATGAATGTAGCTACAGAAAGGGAGGGGAATGATTTTCTATTTTTTAGCTAACATACGTGTAAATTTTACCTTATTCCTAGTAATGACCCTCGTATTGTAGATAGTCTTAATGACCCTCGTGTAGTAGTCTTTTTAGTATGATAATAAGATGTTATCTTCATTATAGAATAATAAGAATATATTATAACCTTTATATTATAATAATAAGGTAAAAGGACCCCAATGGAAATAAGTCACTGTCTGACTTTTTTGGGTTATCCTAGGTTCTCTACACATATGCTGCTATGTATGATAATTCTATGTAACTGTATTTGTGTATACCTGAATAAACTTACTTACTTACTTATTTAATATACATTATATTGGTCTCACAGGCCACAATGTTACTAGAAAAAGAAAAAAATGAGAAAAGAAAAGAAAAAGTATAAAAAACGTAAAATAAGAAATGCGATTTTGTTGAAGTCGCTGATTTTGCCGCCACCCGGTCATTTTGGGTCAACTTCCCACCGCTGTATCTCAGTAAGTACTGATCAGAATTTTTTTTTTTGTTGTTTTATTACCTTCACAAAAATATTATCTTTAATTCTGTAAGAAAAAATAATTTTTTTTTTTTTCAGAATTTCTTGGACACTGGGGCACCCCTTCAGATTTTGGCCCTGGACCCTGAAAGGGTTAAACAAACCTTAGATATGGCATGTATATACTTTATAACTTTGTAGAAACGTATAACCAGAACTAGAGTAAGGGTGGCCCCTTCAGCTTGTATCTCTCCATTCACCAATTAAAATTGACCCTCAAAAAGAAACACAGTATGGTGCAGTACAGGAGAGCTCCATACATACATACAATACTTACTTTAAAATATGGCATTTGTCGCCCTTCTGTTACGCAACTATTTTATGAAACGGTCGAAAAGCCACCAAACATAATGAACCAAAGATCATGAAAAAAAAGAGGGACACCAAAATGAGGGAGCCAAAAATGCAGGATTCTCCTGTATTAGAAGGCAAAACAGAATTTACATTCCTCATACTTTTAATTTAACACTTGAAGTAAGTTCCCATGGAAATTCAAATGACAAGGTGGGTTGCCCAGTAGGTCTTGTATCATTGAAGAATGAATATATGTATAGTCTGATCAATTTGTGTTCAGAAAAACTTCATTCACTACTAGCCACAGAAATAGGGAGGAACAAGAGGATTTTGAGAATAATAAATGTGTTAGTGACACTACACGTGTGGTGATGGTATACCTGGAGGGGTGTTTTGGGTGTCAACTCACCCACATCCCAGGCTGTGACTAGGCCTCGTGGTGGATCAGGGCCTGATCAACCAATGGTCCCAATGGCACTTGTCTTGCTCACAATTCACAGAAATGCTACCTTAGGAGTCACCAGTTCCAGTTTTAAGCAATGTTCTATAAATGGCATTTAAGTTATATTCTACAAACTAAAGATTATGGAAATCAAAAGTTATCTGATGCAGCAGTGTGAATTTTTCTTCAACCCTCATATTGCTGTGTCAAGGACTGCAAAATAAAAGTTTGATTTTGATTTTTTCTTCTGGCCTGAGCAGGTTCATCAGCTTCCTATGTAAATTGCTTAATAATTTTTCTAATAAAGTGGATCTTGTCCTAAGTGTACTAGGATCTCAAACTCCTCCAGTGCTTTCTTTTGCAGTTTTCAAGATTGTAAAGTTTCAAACCTTGTGTGAACCTAACTAACAGTGTAATAATAACATGTGAATGAATCAACCTACTGGAATTCTTAGACATTTACTCCTAGACCACAAAACCACTAAACACAGAAGCAGTTTTACTTGGTTCACAATCATTTTTCTCAGTATCCAGTCTCACTCTGATTTCAGATAAAGAAATAATTTGCATTGACAAGAGTGAAAAGCATACAGATCACATAATCCTTACCCTGAATCCCAAATAAAGATGGGTTTTGAGTGCTCTGATTTAAAGCAGAAGTTGAGCCTATCACGAGTGATGGATTGGGTAAAAATTTACATTTAAATACGTACATACCTACAGTATATCTCCACAAAATTGACATAGGTGCTCCCACATGATGACATATATACACAATTGTTACATTCAGAGTGTAAAATCTTAAGTTTGCATTACCTTGAGATGCTGTTGCCATCCCATTGTCAATCTAAAGCAAACAAATTCTTGTTTATATCACCCCACAAAACCTAATTTAATTGATCCTGCAATAAAATATTTAATTTCATAAATGGGGTAATGCATTATCCTGTACCTGCAATGTATTTTTTCAAATCCTCTTGGGAGTTGATAGCATGACCCCATGTGACTATGCTGAGGTCTTCACCGACATCTGGAAAATAGTCTGCAACATCTACATCTCCCTTCACAGTTGCTGTTGCCATTGTCACAATCACAAAGACAGAAAATACTTTTCATAAAGTTTATTCCACCAGCTGCAAAAATAAATTATAAATGATGAGTGCCCCATTGGAATAAGTCACTTTGCTTTACTTTTATCGGTTATACTAGACAATTTACACATTATTATGCAAGACAACTGTAATCGTCCAAAATTGTGTAAAACTTATTTACACTATGGAAATTACTATTATTATTATTATCATTCAATTCATGGAAAAATGCTAAACCCATGGGGGGGGGGGATGGGGTCATACAGCACTTGGGGAAATGAGAGGGATTCAGGTTCAATTCATGGAGAAGGACGATAGGTCCAATTCCTTGGATCAAGAGTCAATCACACAAGTTGTCATGCATATCTGGGTGACAGTAAATAAACTTTCAGGAAATCTAGAAAAGATTTACTACTTGCTATTTGGTAATAAAATAACTAAATAAATGTCAAAATAAATTACAATAAAAAAAATAGAAAAATTAAGGTAAAATTTTTGGATTACACCAATAGTGCAAACTAAAATTTAATAGACACATCCAATACTTTGTAACAAAAGCATCAAGAACTGTGGCATCCTCTCAAAATTTCTATTGTATATAATATGTGCCTCCCTCCATGCCTACTCTATGCTATACACTCGTCTATTCACATTACATATATGTTGTCTGTATTATATAAATAGTTTAGAAAACTGACAATATAGGAGTGGAAGGGATTGTCTGACCATGTCGAAGCCTGTCCTAGCATGAACCAGTTCAGGAAGAGAACTAAGGGGTACCTAATGAATGAAGCTACAAAAAGGGAGGAGAGTGATTTCTTGTAGTTAACATTTGTGTATTTATTATTGTAAGATGATACTCTCTATTTAATCTTCATATATATAACTGTTCATTTTATTCCTACTGCACCTCCTTTTACTGCAAGTGATTTTCACACAAGAGTTACTTAGCGGCTTTAATTTTTAAGGTTAAAATCATAACTGATTTCTATTTTATCTTACTGCTAACCTTTAAAATAAGATATTACAAGGACCTCAATGGAAATAAGTTATTTCGAATTTATGGGGCTATCCTAGGTAATTTATGTATGTACTAGGTATGATAATTGCACTTATGTATACCTGTACTTATATAAACTTACACAGTAAAACTTACACAGCCTAAAATAAAGACTAATCTTTCTTTGAAGAAAAGACATCAGTGCTAGAAGTTTATGGCTGACCAGAGGATGCATTCTAAAGTTACTGCAAGAATCCAACAAAGTGTGTACCTAAACAGCCTAGAGCAAAGAAATTTTTCATCCATTTTATCAGATGAATCACCCATTAACACTGTCAATAGGGAACCCACACATGCAAATAGTTCCATGAATCTTGCCCTACATACACTACACCAGTGTTGAAAATTAGAAACCAATCAAATAAGGAGTACTCATGTAATAAACAAAGAATTGTTCCATAAAAATAGGAAAACCTAATTTAGCAGAGAATGTTCAAAAAAAAAAAAATAGGAAAACCTATGTTCTTAAACTTAAAAATACGACTATTTTTTCTTGCCAGGACCAATGACAAGAGGTAAGGTTAAGCTATGTTAGGTTATTTTAAGTTAGGTTAGGTTAGTGTCATTAGGCTTGGTTATGTTTCATGTCATTTAAGCAGTAATATACTATCTTGACTGCAAAACTGGCTTAATATTACAATTCAAACTACATATGCATAACTAATGGTCACAATTGGCTGAGTAGCAGTTCTACCTTAGTGCCCATAGCCTGGTGGCTAAAGCTCTCGCTTCACACGGCAAGGGTCCGGGTTCGATTTCCAGCGAGGGTAGAAACATTGGGTTTTTCTTTACACCGGTTGTCTATGTTCCCCATCAGTAAAATGGGTACCTGGGTGTTAGTCGATTATTGTCGGTCGCATCCTGGGACAAAACTGACCTTATTTGCCAGAAATGCTCAGCATAACAAGCGGCTTTCTATACAGTAGTATGTCATTGATGTACAAGGTATACAGTCGTAGCTGACATGTACTTGTAGAAATAAAGATATTATTATATTATTATTAAATCTGCATTTTAAACCTGAATAATCACTTACCTAACACTATACATAGTACTGAAGGTTTCCGTCACTTGTAGTTAATACAAATATATTTTACCTCATTATTATTATTATTATTATAATCAAAAGGAAGCACTAATAAGTAAGTTTATTCAGGTTAACACGAAAACAGTGACAAAGATTATCATACATAGCAGCAAGTGTACAGAACCTAGGATAACCCAAAAAAAGTTATAGCGATATCAACAAAAATAAAGTGAGGAACAGTAGTACTATCACAGGTTATCA